CCATGCATCCCCAAATCCGGGGCAGAGCGGGCGATAGGGTCTCCGTTCGGCTCCCCGCCAGCCCGGGCAGGCTCTGGTGGGAGATGCTCCTGCTCTCACCCTCCTCTCCCAACTGTTTGAAGACCCGCAGGAGGGGCAGGAGAAGTCATTGAGGTTCAGCATCCTAGAAAATGGGGCTTGAGGGTTACACCAAGACATCCTAAACCATCAAATTAAATATAGCCAGATTGCAACAGAGCACAGGAGGAGGAGAACCCATCTCTAGTTTGCACTGGGGTCCGAGAGCTGGTATTTTGGTAATGGAAATAAATGAATAAAAAATTATTTACAACAGATGAGAGCATGTCCCGGCTGTGGAGATGCTGCTCAGCCTCATTTCTCCGGCCGGCTCTTGCTTACGCTGGGCTGCAGGGACGGTTGCAAGCCGCTGGGTGGAACAGGATCCTGCGAGATGCCTTTAGTCCTGGTGCGAAGCTCTGAGGTCTTGGTGCTGGCGGGAGTCTGAGCCCTTATATTTGCATGTCTCTCTATATATATGTATGTGTTTAAGTTTTGTTTACTCGTAGATACAGAAAATGCAGTTATATTTGTATTTTCAGGTGGTCGAGTCAGGGTGGCTCAGGTCACGTTGTACCACGGCGGCTGAGGCTTGGCGTGGCTGGGCAGGTCGTGGCTGGGCAGGTCTAATCCTGCTGTTTCGGAGCTGTTGCGGGGCTGGGAGTGGTGGGAACAGCCCTGTGCTCCGAGCCCCCAGCCTCTTCCTTGCCGAAACGCTGCTCAAGCCGGAGGCTGAGCCATCGCCCGCTGGGTTACAGGGGTCTTCCAGGAGGAGGGAGCAGCCACAAACTGCTGGGAAATTTGCTGTCTGCTGTCATCTCACGATTGCTGGCGTGGGTTCAGGGAGCTGAGGGGGCTGGATGATGGGGCTGGGTGGGTGTCGTTTGCGATGATTGCTTTCCCGAGCTCTCTAAAATACAGCAAGTTATTTAGAAAAAAAAAACCCAAACCCAATATGTTTTGCTAACCGCAAACTCAGAGCCTGGGTCAGGTTTCACCTGTAATGGGAATCAAATTGCCCCTGTGAGCGTTGCTGCCTCCCCCTCAGCCAGCATCCGTCCATCCACACCATCCGACTCCAAAATAACCTCCCCGTAACTCCATCCTCACTCCCCGGCAGCTTCTGGGTCAGAAATCAGTACCCAGAAGAGCCTTTAGAAAACATTAATCCTGCAATTTAACTGCTTATCCCTTCTCCTGCCCTACACGCCCGTGCAGCATTCCGAGGAGCGGGAGCTGCGGTGGCCGCCGGGCCGGTATC